TGTTGGGGTCCAAGTACTGTCAGATTTTAGTGTTGTTTACTTAAATTTATTATATGATCTATTAGTGAAAAGAGTAATGTTATACTCCCATTTAACCAAAGTTTGAATGGAGAATTTTGAAAATTTATTCTCAGCGAGTGTTTATATTAAGTATATTTGAATATTTATTGTAACAAACACAGTTTATCACTCAATCATAGTATAGTAAAATATGAACTTTCAATTTAATTAGTAATACTATGAGACGTTGTTTGAAGTTAATTTAAGTAAAAAATTTACTATTAGCAATAGCAAAAATAATGTTGTGCTCAAATTACAATTAAGATATCAGGTCTGCTAGATCCTTTTAGATTTACAGGTCGATTATTGTACTTGAGCACTCTATTGATTCCGATAGAATAGGTGAAAAATCACTCTGAATTTAATTTAGGCTACAACTTTGTTCAATGCACAATTTTTTTGTGAAATAGTGTAGTCGACCCATGGGAAAGGGTAGGTGCTTAGGGAAAATAGCATACTCTTTTCCATGGGTCGACTACACTATTTTAAAAGATTTTTTGAAATAGCGTAGTCGACCTTTGCAATTTATAGTGATTTTAATATAGATTTTGAATATCTAAATTTTTTGTTTAAAATATTAAATTAATGTAGTCTAATTAATTTTGAAAATTAATCAAATTGACTTTCGAAAAATGCAACATGACAAATAAAAGTGGACAGAGAGTACTTGTCATTTTATAAAATCAATGCAAAAATTATAATACTATTCCTATTATACCCTTGATAGTTAATTAGTCTTAAAAATAGATATTTGATCAGCCTAGGAAAGTTAATAAATAATTAATATTCATTGTAATTACTTCATACATTGATTAATTACTCTCATTATTGCATTACTCTATAAAATCTTATTTTGAAAAAAAAATCTCAACAAATAAATTAAAAATAAAAGATGACTTTATTTATCATTTATTAAAAAGTTAACTTCAAATAAATATTAAACAAAGGTAGAATGGTAAACTTGATTTCTTAAGAGCAACTTTCACATATAGCAAATACAAAATTCATATTTGTATGCTATAACAAAGTTTGCATAATTGCGCTCCATAGCAAACATATATATGTATAATTCGCTATACATATACAAAATAAATAATTGTATAATTCGTTATACATATACAAAGAGGGCAGTTGTATAATTCGCTTTACATATACAAAAGGAAGAAGTTGTATACAAAAGATCAATTGTATAATCTGTGTATGTATAAAACGAGAAAGAGAGAAAGGCAAAAGAAAACTGGGCAGAGAAATATTTGTATTGTATAATTATAAGTGTATAGGACGAAGATATATGTAATTGCATGTGTATATACAATTTTCTCTCGCTTTATACAAACAGAAGCGCAATTTATACATTTCGTTTATGTTTGTATAAGCGAGAGAGGCGAGGGTGGCGAGCGAGACTTGGGAGAGTGGCGAGCGAGATCTGGGAGAGGGGAGAGAGGGGAACGAAAATATATGTATATATACAATTTCCTCTCGCTTTATACAAACACAAACACATTTTATACATTTGTGTTTGTATAAAAATGAGAGAGGCGAGCGAGACTACCACCAAACGAGAGTGGCGAGCGAGATTTCACCAGGGAGAGTGGCGAAAATAGCAATAGTTTGCTATAGGATACAATTAAATCAAAGTATATTTATAGCATTTAATTTGAATTAATAGTTTGCCATTATATACAATTTTTCTATTTCTTAATGCAAGTAAAATATAAAAATATAACATATAAAAAGAAACGGAGGGATTAACAAATAAACAAAGAAGTCCATTTTCCTTTTTCAATTCCCTAAAGTTTGGAGTATAATTTTTTTTTTAATGTCTTTTTTTAAAGTGGTTTACGTGACTTTCAATTTTTGTACTGATGCTAGAGTATAATCTCTGATTTTAAAATTCACCTTAGACGGTGGGAAGGGATATGTATATCATAATAGATTGAGATAATAAATAAATGAGTTATTAATTCGTTTAAAGGAGAATAATAAATTTGAATTTGTACAGAAAAATCTCACAGTAGAGATGAAATTTGTAATCGTACTGAAAAGTTCACATTAAAAGTAGAACATTTTAAAATAAAGATGATTTCATATTGAGAGGATTCAAATCCGAGAAATAACAGATGGAGGGAGTATAATGTTGAGGGAATGAGTCAAAATCATCTGAAAAGTGTTGTTTAATTACCTAATTAATTCCTACCATCCAACTAACCTACACCAACAACACATAGCCGACAAATGTAAATGTCTCTATAACTCATCCACCTTCCTCTTTAATTATCCACCAATTATTTTGCTAACAATTATTACTCCCCCTTTAAATTCCTTCACTACAAAATCCATAAAATTGGCCTTCATATTTTGTGTATAATAAGTTTCGATATAATAGATCTGAACTCAGTGATTCGTTTTTTTTTTTTTGAATTTTACACATAATGAAAGTTTAGTATATTAAAATTAAAAAGAATCGAAGAATTTATACTGAAAGTTTGATTAATTGAAAATCACGAGTATTTAAAGTCAAAATCAAAGTTGAAAAAAGTATATTTAATAGAAAAGTAATTAGGAAATTTGACACTTAATGTTCATTGATAAGATTACTGACAAATTAGGTACGCGTGATCATTAGAGTTATTAATTTGTCATTGCCTAACAGCCAGATGCCGTGCCATTTCACATTCGCTGTCTACTCATGTTATTGTCCCTCTATCTATATATGCGATCTTGTCTGAGTTTATCGAAAATAACGTTCTCTTTGTGTTTATGAGATAATGATAAGAATTGCATATATATTATTATTTTTTAACTTTTATTTGTGAAATTACACTAGATATATATTATTGTTATTGTTGTCTAACTTAATACTTGAGAATTTTTTTCTAGAATCTTTTAAAAATTATTCGATATATATCGTTATGAGGTTACATTATATATTTACTTATAATTTATTAAATATTTCGATTAGAAATATCCAATTGACTATCATTTATTATACGTGATACATGTTGCTCTATCACTGGTCATTGTATAAATGTATATCAATTTTAGTGATACGTACATGTGTTTATTACTACTATGTCTTGTTGTAAGAAAAAGATTGAACTCTTATTCATTAAATTAAATGTTTTTATTGATGTGAATCAAATAAATTTCATATTGAAAACAAAAACGATGTGTATAATTATCTAAAAGCAACAGAACTAATTAAGTAGTGTATTATTTTTCTATGAGCACTTAGGATTTTAGAATATTGGATTAAAAATAGAATCTTATGGCTATCTAAAATGGAAACAAAGTCCAAAAAATACAAGAAACTTTGAAAAGAACTTGGAGTACTGTTAAAATATATGAAGTGTAGAAGAGAAGTCAACAATTTTTGAATTAAGTAGTTGAAATATGAAGATTTTACTATTACTCCTTTAAGTTGGAAACTTTTATATTACACTTTTTTTTCATGCCAAAAGGTGAAGAGGAATGTGTGAAATTAAATTCTCTTTCAAACATGCACATGCATTGATTTTGTCCCAATTTTTAGATGATTTTTATATCTACTATAGACTATAGACAATGACATGAGTCTAATTAACAAATGGAACTTGAAATTTACTTAATCTAAACTTAGCTTGTGAGATGAAAATTGTCTAAAATTCATATAAAAAAGAGTAATTTTATTTTATCTCATTCTTAAATAGATGTAGATGTAGAGATTCAACATTGTTGTTGTATGCCCTCACGTCCGGACTTGTCAATTAGTGTGTAAATGTGTTATATGACTATTCAACATCGGATAAATAAAGAATTGAGGTCAGTCTAGCTTAGCTTTAATATTATGATAACAAAATGAAATTTAGACTTAACTTCAAAATTAACTCATAAAGTGAAGATTGTTCCAAATCATACAAGGAGAACATCATATACAATCAAGGACTCAACATCGTGCATGTCTAAACCGACTAACTTGAAGCCTAATTTATAATATGATATGAGGATTCTATGTCAAGCTCAGATTTTACAACTCCATAATGATGTACATAAATATAAGTAATTAATCACCTAAAAGATAGTTAAATTCAATTAACTAAGTGCATAGAATGTTACTGCTATAATTTTGCAAGATTGACCATTTTTATCAACTAATTAATGGTGTATAAGGGAGTGAAAACAAAAAGAAAATGCACTTAAAACTGTGATTTGAAGTCCGACAACGCGCTTATTTCTGTGCACTTTCCTCTTCGATCAACTGCAAATATTTTTAAGCATCTTGATGGGATGAATAATATATTTTTATCTTTAAATAAAAATACTGATTTTAAATTTTAAATATTGAAAAAATTATGGTAGAAAATGTTCTCTTTTTAAATAAATTTTATATTTTGCCAATTCAAATTGATCAAACTCGAATAGAAAATTTTATATTAACGATAATAACATACTCATTATAATTATATATATAAATAGAGTTTAAAAAATACGATAAACTTACTCTTATTCTTATTTTTATGAAATTAAAAGACTGAATTAGATACTTGTCTCAAAAGACAGATTTGTAAAACAAAATTGCATAATGATAGTACAACAAAATAACAAAGATATCAAACAAATCAAGCCATAAGTAACATTAATATGCAATAAAGAATAAGAGCCTATCCCATTACTAATATCTTACTAGCCTCTTCTACTTTAATCATTGACTTTCAAAGATTTCTATCTAGAATTATGTATTTAGTAAAATCTGTCAAATTTTGTCTAATTACTTCCTCTTTTTTTTTTTTTAACATAACTTATTTTTTCAACTTTTTATTATCTCTCACACTTACGTTTATATGTCCAAACTATTTTAACGCGTTGCACTTATTTTATCTACTCTTAAATTACAATTACAATTATTTTTAAAAAAAAATACAGCTATATATATGTCCAAATCATTTTAAGCTTTCGGTGGTCTTTATCAGCCGCTGAATCGACGAATTACAGAAAGAAAACAATTTCCCGAAGACTTGTTTCTGACCTTCAAAACATATTGTCAACGTCGTGAAAGAGTTTGCTCACTAAGGACAATTACAAGCTGCCCTAATTTTTAATACCGGAAAATTGCAACTTGTCGTCGGAAAACTCGACTAGATTCCGGCCAAAACTCCGTCCTATGGCCATCGCCGACCACCACAAGTCACATAACTCCGACGGAAAGCTCTGGAAGCTTTGTCCTCTCTGGCAATCAGGAACTTCTTCTTCTTCGTCGTCTACACAGAATCTTCACTCTCAGAATCACAGTCACCAAAACGGCGTCGGATCTAACAGCTCTCGTGCTTCTACGTCAGTTAGCTCCGTTGCTAGATCACTGCTTCCGGCTCGACGTAGGCTTCGGCTCGATCCAGCTAACAGTCTCTACTTCCCTTGTACGTCCGTTTACCTCGCCGTTGACTAAATTGACCTTTTTTAGTCAACAATTTCCGGTTTTTTAGGTCTTATAATTTTTCGTGTTGAAAACTGGAGGAATTGTGCTCTGCTTTTACCTGTTAAATTTTATATTGATTTTTTTTTTCCAGATGAACCGGGAAAGCAGGTGAAGAGTGCTGTAAAGATTAAGAACACTAGCAAATCTTATGTTGCATTTAAGGTAATCTTTCCGTGTTAATTATGATCTCAGAAAACTCACTTTCTTTGTGGAAGAAAATTGGAAAACTTTTGAGCTAGTAACTATTAGTTGAGTGACTATATGAGAAATCAACTATGATAATTTGTGCTAGTTAGGTCTGTAGTTTTCAGAAATCTCTTTAAATCTATGCGGCCTGCCAAGTGTTTGCATCTATCAGAAGAAAAAGGCATTGAGTAGGGGCTAACTGTCATTTATTTCCTAATGATTTTACCATTTCTGGATCTTCTGGATGGTTCATGATTTGAACCAATAGCATCTACTTTCAAATCGTTCCCGTTTACTCTTTATTGTAGCTAATTCAATCCCTACATAAAATGAGTTTGTTTTATGCTTTTAGGGTCGAAAAGACTAAACCAATAGAAGTTAGCTAATGAAAGCAAAATGAAGTTCATTGAGGTTGTCTTGGGTCTTATATTCACAATGCATCGTGTAAGATTCTTCAAGTAAAAATATTTGTACTGGTGTTTCTGTAAATAATATAGCGGACCTCTTCTAGTTTGAGATTGAAGTATAGAGCATAGTAGTAGTAGTAGTTGTTGTGATATGGAGGTTTTGTTTATGATTGTCACACAATATAACTGGTGGTGTAAGTTTCTGATATTTCCTTTTCATGATTTTTCTTTCTGCATTTTAGTTTCAAACTACTGCACCAAAGAGCTGCTACATGCGACCTCCCGGAGGCGTTCTCGAACCCGGTGAAAGTGTTATTGCCACTGGTAATTGGTTTTCCTACGTTTTCTTGTTTCCACTATTCCTTTTTTTGTTAAAATATCAACTTAGATTTGGATTGTGTGTCTAAACGACAGTCTTCAAGTTTGTGGAGCACCCTGAGAACAACGAAAAGCCTGTGGACCAAAAGAGCAAAGTTAAGTTCAAGATCATGAGCTTGAAGGTAAAAGAAGGAGTAGATTACGTACCTGAGTTGGTGAGTAACTGAACTTCCTAGGTCTTTCTAAAAGAGGCAATTTTATGGATTTGCAGCATCTTTTGACCACAAAGAAAGTTAGGCTATCATGCTTCTTCAGCTTTATACTTATCATTTGAGCAACACATCAATTTTCTTGCTGATGATTTCATGCACTTTAACAAAACATATTGAAGGGTAAAGGTGTTGCTGACTTGTCAGGATTCTGGACAACTTTTTTTTTGGGTCCTTTTTTGTTCTGAAAGTCACGAGTTCATTATTTGTCTATTCAGGATAGACCCTGTCCTATCCACCTGAACATATTTATGAAAATTAGCTAGGATTATAATTTTTACTGCTTATATGAACAGAGCATTTTGTGATAAGATGTGGGTAAATGAGGAGCTCTATCATAGGTTTGGCATTATTTGAAATTACATCTTTTCTGCATGCTCCTGTCTATATCCACCTTTGCTATGTGTGATATAGAAGAAGCACTTTCCAGTAAGCTCTGACTAGGAATGTATATTTTAGCTGATTCCCGTCCATTTTGAAGTAGCATCAAACATTAGGTAAGTTGCTGTTGGTATGTTCAGAGAAAAGTATTATTGAATTTTACAGAGATGTATTATCTTAAAATCTACTTTACATGTAGATGCTTCTTCTTTCATTCACAAACTGGATTTTATGACAATATTTTTCTATATTGTATATATCAGTTAAGGGTATCCTGTAAAAGTAGCATAGACTTTGAATAGGGGAAGCTGTTGAGATCAGGTGTTTTTTACAATGTAGCCGTGACCAGTTGCTTTTGACTGCAACCTCCATGTTTGAAATGATCTGTCTCTTTTTTAATCTAGGAGCATCAAGTGTCATACATAACCCATTTCTTCTTGTCCTGTCTTCGACAAAGTCAGGATTACAAAAGATTCTTTTCTTTCATCATCATTCTGTATTCCTTAGAGGAAGTCTTGGTGTAAACATACAGAAAGTGATTGGGTACATGTGCTCCCAAAACAAAATGTGTGAGCCTTGTGCCTCTGTCGTCATTGTGTGTGAAATCTGACGTGTAACTAAAGAATATAAGTCTATAGCGTGACTCAAAGTTTGTTGTCAATAAATCCAATAGTGTTATAACCCTTTTGGTTCATGTCGATGCAGTTTGAAGAACAGAAGGATCAAGTGACTATTGAACGTATCCTACGGGTGGTGTTCTTGGACCCAGAACGACCTTCTCCAGTAAGAATTAAACATGCTGCTGTTTATCTGCTTGTTCATTTTACTCCGAGTTCTTCTCCAACTAAATAACATGATTGATTAAGGTACTGGAAAAACTAAAACGTCAGTTGGCTGAAGCCGAGGCAGCATTAGAATCTCGCAAGAAACCTCCAGTTGAAACTGGGCCTAAAGTTGTAGGAGAAGGTCTAGTAATAGATGAATGGGTAAGGCTATCTATCTCTGCATATAAAAGCATGTATCTTTCCAAGTTTGATTCCTCTTAACAATGTGTGTCTGCTTGCTATTGTTCAATAGAAGGAACGAAGGGAGAAGTATCTCGCTCGGCAGCAGGTTGAGGCTGTTGATTCAGTGTAAAGCAACTAGTGAATTTTAATGCAAGTTCCTTCTTTTGCCATAATTGAAATGTCAAGCCACATCCATCCATTTTCTGCTTTAATTCTTTCGAAGGATGGTGGAAAACGGTCAGTGTGGTCCGTCTTGTAAAGAAAAATAATCAGTGGGAGGTTTAGTTTCTTCTTCATGGAGTAAAAGCTTGTTATGTAATTGCTTTGGTTGTATTCTTGTAGATATTGCATTACTTTTTTCTGAAAACCTATTCTTTTGAATACTGCTCGTGTAGCCACAATGTTCTGAGTTCCACAAAGGGAGACAGAAACTAAAATAATTCGTATTATGGTAGATAGTGGAAATTGGAATTATCTATGGGTGTCTCGTGCTAGGGAATTGAAGTAACGCATACAGGATTGTAATTCACTGACATGCATTTTTACCTCATTAACTTAAAAGAGTAAACAAAACAAATTTTACTGGTTTACGGGTTAATTAAGTGACTTTATTTTAGTGTCCAAAATAAACTTATGTATCACATTTACTTTATTAGATCATGTATTTTGGATACTTATGATTTAAATTAGGTGTAATTTGTTTCAAATACACTATATCCAAGTGTTGGGATATACTAACTCTTTCGCTCGGCTCTCTCCCTATGTATCTGGTCTTAAAGATGCATGTATTTTTAGTGTGATTCATATGTATTTGAGATGCAATGATTCTCTGGCTCGCTTCTCTCTCTATGTATTTTTATTTCAGAATGTATTTGGTATCATAGATACATGCATGTATACATATGCATTTGACTTGTAATATGAAGAAATGGTGTATCTAACTTGAAATTTTGTACAAAATTGTTAATTATTTCAAACTACAGAGTGAATTAGTATTTACAGCAAGAATGCTTGTGTAATTAGATTGTTCCTACTTAACTTGGACAAATCATAGTAAATTTATATGATTTGGTGAAAACTAAAAAAAAATGTTGGGAAAAGCATTTACACTAAAATATCTCTTGCCGCATTTTCTAATAATCCAATTACATAGTACAAGGAAGGAATCACTATGTCAAGCCGTTTATAAAAAAAAGCAAATGAATGAACAGTAAGAAGAAGAAAAGGATGAAGAATCTAACATGAACAGTCTCACACAACCTATATACACAAGGAACAAGCTGGTAAATAGAATGTTTTGCAGATTTGATTTCAATCAGATACGCGCACTACAAGCAATCCAACCTATAACCAGCACATCAAGAGTTTCAATCAGTGATATATCATCGAAGAATTCAGAGATTTTCCGGCAATTTAAAGTTTTGTGATCCACATATTTGATGAGAGCCAGTTTCCACAAAGAGCGTTACGCCACATTTGCTGCTATTGAAGCCATCCCAAAGAGAGAAGTTGACAGTTCCTGAGATTGTCTTCTTTGCAGTAATATCCTTTACAGAGCAAAGCTTCTCCAGCCTCCTGACAACATAGTCATTCGCAAGCATTTTTCCTTTGTTCTCTCCTGCAGCGATATCAGTGACCAGACCACCTTCGTACAGAGCAATCATCACGTTGGCACCATCATTGTCCACCTTACTCCTCAGAGATCCTAATAGAGATACTTGCAACGACTCTGGTGTTGGCCTCTCGAATGTCGCCTGTAATGTTTTTTTCACAGCACAGACCAGATACAACCATTAGTTCATACTGAATCCAGTATTTTTGATACAGAATTGAGAAAACAACTAAAGTTTCAGCAAATACTGAATTCTCGACTCATAGTTTCCAAAGTACACTGAGTTCAGTTTAAGAAACTATACTAATCCCAAGTTCCCAACAAAAGCAGAAGAGTGTTGACCTGAATTTTACCAATTCAAGAAGTAAAGAATCAGAATAACGTGCTGAGGTCAAAATATAGCTAACATCTTCTTGATTCTGGTATGAAGTGGGATAACATGAACCTTTTTCAGATCCAAATGATCAAATCTCGAATTCCACATATTAGCTTCTCATTGGCTTTACACCACATATTAGCTTATTATTTCCAGTACATTGTAACCTGGTGCAAGATCACGAGGAATTGATCAATCACGCATTAATTGAAATCTGCTATACCATTTCTCTGTATCCATTTTGATTGTTTGGATGAGATGGAATAACCAAAAGAAATCGGTAACGTAAAACATGATTTGTATTTGAAGAGAACCAAAATGCCCATTTTAGCTTCTCATTTCCAGTGATCAGTATATTGCAACTTGGTGCAACCATAAGTGATCACGAGGAATCAAATCAATCAATCCCACATTAACTGAAATCGACTATATGAATTCTCAGTACCCATTTTGATCAAAAGGAATAACCAAGACAAATTGGTTTAAATTGCATTTGAAGATAATAAGCTCATGTAAATCCAGGAGAAATCTCAGTAGCTCAGTTGGTTTGCTGCCTGAACTTTCAACTTGTTGGCAGTGGTTCGATTTCCTGCTTTGTAATCCCCTCACCCATTTCCCCATCCCCTACCCCGTTCGAAGACCAAACACCATTCATTCAAGTCTTTCTGGTACTCATGAATACTCTTTTTTTTTGGTTTCACACTCGGTGTCAGTTACCCCACTTCATACCTCGACTAATCCGGATCCGTGACGCATAAGGCTATGAAACAGGGGAACACTCCTTACCAGATTTTTTTCATTTACTAAGTTCGAACCCGAAACCTTTGATTAATCACAATTGCTTCAATCATGCATATGATTCAATTAATTCATCAAACAGAAAGATTTTGTAACCATAAATTCAATCAAATAGTGCATTATTATGATCAATTTGCAACAATAACAAACCTGGAAGGAAGGAGCAGCAAATCTGGGAGCAGAATTGATGCAAGAGAAAACAGCATCTTGTTCATTCCCAACACATTGAGCTCGTCCCTGAACCACAATTTGAGGCGTAAACATGGTATCTAGATTTAAGGCCTCAACATACGCTTTTTGTTTAACCGTCCATAAACTCGACCCAAATGGATCCTTCCAACCCATATAATCCCAATAATCCACATGATAAGCCAACAAAATCACCGGCATTTCTAGGTTAAAATCGCCTCTCCCAATCCTCGAAAACAATAGCTCCGCTTCAGGCGAGGTGGCGCAGCCTTGCGATGAGAATAACTCCACCACCACTGGCCCGCACCGTTTTTGCTCCTCCGCCGTTAAATCCGCCGTCGCACTGTCGTTATTCTTTGAGCTGAGATCTTTCGAAGAAGATTGAGAAGAACCGCCTTTGCCGAAGCAGGTGAAGAGACGGCGCCCCATTTTCCGACGAGTCGTCTCAAACCTGGTGATTCGTTAAAGCTTTAATGGAGAAAATTGTAATGGAATATATTTATCAAAAATTAAACAATGTTTTTATGGGGTTTTCGAACTGAAGAAAAAAAAATGAGAAATGAAAATGGAAAGCTTAGAATAGTAAAAATACGAAGAGATGGTGGAGAGGAAAAGGTGGCGAAGCAAGTGCCTTTCAATATATTCATAGTACCTTTATTACAACAAGACCCACCCCCTAGCTCCTTTCCTTTTTTGTTTTTCTCGCTCGACTGGATTTCAGGATAAGTGTACGGATATTTGATTTTAGAATTATTATCTAAGTTATATTTTGTAGTTTTAACGTATGTAATTGGATGAAATTTGTATGCGCATTATTATTTTTATATTTTCATTTGTAAAATTACATAATAAAGTATGTTGTTTTGTCTCAATTTCAATCATCTTTATTATCAGAACGTTAATAATTTTAACTTACCATTCAAGCATTTTACTTGAATTTATACACATTATGTCAAAAGCTATAACTAATAGTAAAATCATAATTTTATTTTTTAATTAAATCCACCAAGCAAGTGTCGTGTTCTATCATGATTTTGATTTGAACCATTCTAGCCCTCATAGACCTTGCAATACGTAGAATGTTGACACTATTCAACACGTATAACTGAAATCACAGAAATATTTTTTTGTTTGGTTTCTCTCTTGGTGTTCGATAACCACATTGGAGCCTGACTAAATCCAGATTTGCGTCGTGAAGTCCCACATTGGGGGTAAAGCGCTCCCTAACAAAAGCGACTCCGTATCCAAAAAGGCTCAAACTCGAAACCTCTTGATTAAGGATAAAGAAGTATTTACCAACCCTTATCGGCCAAATCACAGAAATATTTGAACTCTTAACGAAATGGCATGTAATCTCTTCAATCAGGGGAAGGAAGGTGGAATGTCGTTACCGACACGAAGTAGGAGTCGGTGACACGTTATTTGGTAGGTTGAGTTGGATTTTGTCAGACGTTCCATCTGCCCACTTAATAAAAAGTGCGATGCCTTCACATGTAATCTCTTCAATAAACAATTAGGAGGAGAACTATATGTTATAATAAATATTATACGGGTTTTCCGGATAAAAAATAAAAAATCGTCACCTAATTATTTATCGATAGATTTTGTACTGAAAAAATTACATGTCACATAATTAGATCTGTTTACTACGTTCTTTTTCTGTTTGTGGATGACGAATCTTGGTAGGTATGTAGCTGAGGACAAGTTGGAAGCCCATGTGGCTGTTGGCATAGCCACAAAATTTACATACAAAAAGATTGGTTATTGAAGATGTTACCAGCAAACAACATGGATTGTGGTGCACTGGTGAAAGTGTTTCACCTTTGATCAGAGGTCTCAGATTTGAGCTCTGAGTATGGAGAAAATCTTGTTGGAATGAGCCCTGCAGTGCACGATCTAAATTTAGTGGGAGCTCTAATGTGGTCTTCGGACACAAACACCCGAGATCTGGGTATGGAAAAAATCTTGTTGGGATGGACCCTGCAGTGCACGATCCGAATTTAGTGGAAGCTCTAATGTGGTCTCTGGACACTGACAGTGAAGTTACATGGAAGGAAGTTGTCTTTAACAACTAGCAAATAACAATATATTCAGTATAATTTTATAAGTGAATCGTATAAAATGCAGTGTGTATGTATGCAATCCTATTTCTACCTTATGAAAATAGATTTAGAGGTTATAATTTTCGATAGATGGTTAAACTCCAAATTAAATTAGGTAAAAAGTAGTTATTCTATGATTTAGATCCACTTCCCACCAAAATGTCCATTCATTTATACTTTCTATTATCAAATTGGCCACCTTCATTGAAAAGATTTAAAGAAGAAAAAAGGGAAATGACAACCAAAACAAGATAACCAAAACCAAAATAGCCTACAATAACCTGCCAGCACGAAGAAGCAAACAAAAAGCGAGTGGTGTACTATTAAACACGCAATTTATTTATTACGTGTGATCGAGTCTCTTCTTTTTCTTTTTAGAAAGAGTTGTCTTGATATTAGGGGCGGAGCTAAAGATCGACTCGTATCTACCTGGATGAACTTTAGTAACTACATTTAAATTCTACATTTTAAAATAAAATTTAGATTTGAAACCTAATTGTTAATTAACATCTCATATCATTATTTATGACTTTAGAAATTATAAAATTAAAATTCTAACTTTGCGTCTGTTTGTATCCTTAATATTAGTAGTACTATTTTATTTACAATATTTTTTGAGCTTTTGTTGAGGTGTTTTTGGAGGATATAAACGTATGTACACTTCAGCACTTCTCTAATCACCATTCCACACCACCTTCTTCACGTGTTGGGTTGTGAAATTGAGATTTGAGGGAAATACATTAATGCATAATTCTAGGCTTGACAACTGAGGCGTGGATAACATAATATAAGGTTTGATATTGGATAAATAAAAAAACTAAAGAAAATCTACTTTGATCGAAATCAAATTCGAAAGCTACCTCGTGAGTTGAGGTTTGTCCAATATCATATAAAAAGATAAATTGTGACTACATTCACCACATATATATCGAAATTAAGTCTGTACGTACGTATATATAATTAGGTAAAATTCGTAGCCATATACTATTAGAAAAGGTATTAATTGGCAAAACAAAAGCTAGCCCACTATATTTGTCATTTTACTCAAGTGGACATTTGGAATTATACTACAATATCACTTTAATTTCTTAACCTATGAGTCTAATTATTGACCTCCACACATTCAGGATCCTCATCTATATGCTCTTTTATCCTTATATAATTCAATAGAAAATAGAAAATGATATAAACACAAAAAGAGAAAAAGTGAAAAAGAAAGGCAAAAAAAATAAAAAAAATCACACTTTTTTTTTAAAAAAATAAAAATTTCAAGATGTTGGAAGGGAAAGCAGTAATTGGAGACACAGATATGTTGGGAACCATGCAACAAGATGCATTAGATTTAGCTGCAAAGGCACTTGACTTCTTTGATGTCACTGAGGCCACTGAAATTGCACGTTTTCTTAAAAAGGTAACAAATCATATATAGATCAATTGTTTTTTCTTTTACTAAGGTTTTATAATTTATAGTAATAGCTAGAGTCGAATTTAGGATTTAGACTTGATGAGTATACTGATTGCATTTTAAATATTACAAATTTATGTAAGTTGAGAGTGATCTACATCTGTCATATTATAATAATGAGATTCAAATTCGATAGTGAATTTCTCAACTTGAATTCGAACCTAGTCATCTTTACTACTACTAGAAAATTTGTATAACAAGGGGATATATAAAAGTGAAAATAATTTACTTATGAACATAATAAAGGGATTTAATTGCGGCTAAAAGCTAGTAATTTTGATAAGAGAATTCCTAATTATTCAGCAGAATTTTGTCATATAGTCTGAGATTTGAATTTATATTTCTCTATAGGTTAAAAGGATTCAAATATACAAATATAATTACTTCATGATTGAATTTCCTTCCTTTTATATTATCACCACTATAAAGGGTCTGATATACCCTTCAACTTTGTCATTCAAAGGGGATATACCCTTTGAACTATTTAGTTTAATTTTTTCCTCAAAATGAGTTAATTGAATTACTAACCCTTTCTTTTTTTTTTGAATTAGGAATTTGATACGATGTATGGACCAGGGTGGCAATGCATAGTAGGGACAGATTTTGGTTCATTTGTAACACATTGCTATGGTTGTTTCATCCATTTCTACATTGGCAGCCTTGCTATTTTGCTCTTCAAAGGCTCTGCTGCCCTAGAGGACCCAAAAGCCAAGGCCGAGGCCGAAGCTGACCGGTTTTCTGCTCTGCAGGAAATAGTGTGAAGTCACTTCTTCATTAATTTTACCGTTCTCAACCAAGACATATATATATATATACACTCCAATGTACAATATTAGGAAGTTTTAAAGTTTTAATTTCACATTTATATTTTCACATCTATAAGTTATATATGTCAATTCGATCTCTTTCCTTTTTTCGGTGCTATATTATTTTCTTCCAAGGAACGGAGTTAGGGTTGGGGTGTATAATAACCTGAATTCAGCCTTTTAGTTGTTTCATCTACGATATAGGAAAAAAAGAGTTGGTATATAATTTTTTTTTGTATAAAATTTAAAATGGTGAATTGAGGTCAAGTAGACTGATGATAAGAACTTGCATCTTTTACTTCATGGTGTGAAATTTTCACGGGTCAACCTTAAAGAAAAAACAGGCATATTTCAAAGGATACTATAAATGTATTGCAAGAAAATCCTTCGTATTATTAATGTATACCAATTGAAGCTCGAAAACATTTAGACTTATACATGTATGGTGTACCATAGGAAAAGGGAAAAAAGAGTGCACCATCATATATATAATCGATCTGAAACTTTTAAGTTTTCACTTAAATAAATGTGACAAGGACTAAAAGACCTTTTTAAGTCTTTCGATTAAATAAAAGTGACAAGTGAGTTGTTGGAACAACTTCGGTAAGTGTCCAATTATTTCTTCCAACAACTATATTAGTTTTTCCACATAGCACTAGTTATTCTAACAACTAATCAGTTGACCAACAACTAAGGACTGACACTTAATTGACTTCTATCATACCAAGTCAATATTTCGTAAGAGCGTTATAGGTTTCGATAATCTCCATATATATCCCTTGTGCTTCTCTTCATTTTCTTTTTCAAAAATATATGTATATAGACATCTCCAGCTAATTCTTTTAGTGAAATATGTTTATAGAGCAATGCACTTGTAATTATGGTTTAATTCAACTCCTGGCTTGATTAAACACAGAGGTATGAAGGGGACTCCTTGAGCACACATATGCTTTGGAATTGCCATCCAATGCAAGGGATAAAAAACAAAAGAATCCAATGGAAACAGTTTCAGAAGAAAATTGTATTAATTAGTTGTACGGGGTGCCATGATTTATTACCCTTGCTAGCTATTTATGGAGTAAGTTAGTAAGTGATTGAGGGCTACCTTAGATCAGCTCTTACCATAGGCTGACTTTGACATATTTTAATTAGAGTGAATCTGATTCTTCAATTCAATTACTTTTTTAATCCAATAGCTCGTGGATGTAGAAAAGTGTGTGAATGGCATACGCAAGATCGGAAATTGACAATTGAAAAATTCATTTAGTATTGTCCGTTAGGAAAAGTTGGCTAATCGTACACAACAGACTCGAATTACTCTGATTCTGGAAGACACATGAGTCTGAACGCTTCGGCAAGCTGGGAACTCGAGGATTTTTAAGCAAACATGAAACGAAGATTAAAATAGAGTGCGTGGATATAAAAGTAAGTTTAAATACCATAAAATTTCATATTCAAATTCTAGCCTGGACAAAATACTAGTGATCGATTTATTCTCATCTATTCAAATTTTAGTAAATAAAATTATCCAATATTTATATTGATTGCAATAATAAAATAAAAATCCAAATAGCTTGACCAATGACCATATATAATATTGTACTACTAGATGTTAGCAAGATAAAACTCTGGATAGAAGGATATGACATGGAGATACTCAAAATCTACTAAACACTTCTCATTGGTTGATACAGAAATTTCAAAACTATTTCACACCACAATTTTCTAAAACACAAGAACCAGAATTGTTGGATGGGCCCCCCCAAATATTTCTCCAACAGTTATTCTTTATATATAAATTGTGCAAGAAACTTGGTGAAAATTGTGAGGTCCAATTAATTAAGAGAGAAATTAAGAAAGAGAAGAAATGGCAGCAACAGGTAGCTCAGCCACAGTTGTTAGAGCAACTCCATTTTTGGGCCAGACCAAATATGCTAACCCCCTTAGGGATATAGTTCCTATGGGCTCTGCCAAATATACCATGGTAATTTATTTATTTTTTTGTGTTTTTATAATTGATTTCGAAAATTAATATTATTGAAATTAGAATAAATTTATGATTCGTGTAAAAAGATACTGAATTCAAGTTGAATCTGTTTTTAATGTTTTGTTAGAGTAATGATTTGTGGTATGGACCTGACCGTGTCAAGTACTTGGGACCATTTTCTGCTCAAACTCCTTCATACTTGACTGGAGAATTTCCTGGTGATTACGGATGGGATACTGCTGGTTTATCTGCTGATCCCGAGGCCTTTGCCAAGAACCGAGCTCTTGAGGTACTATCTTTTTTCTTTTACTGGTAGTAACAAATATTTATGTGACTAAAAATCAATTTCGTAAAATTGTTTCTAAATATTAAAGGTATCATTTTTATTAGGATAGAACAAAAAAGTGAAGCATACCACAGAAAATCTACAAATTTAAGACTCATATAATTGTCGACGATTAATTTAGGATTGAGACATAGTTGATCGATTGATATTGATTAAAATTGTGTTAATAATTCTAGGTTATCCATGGGAGATGGGCCATGCTTGGGGCTTTTGGTTGCATTACACCAGAAGTTCTTGAAAAATGGGTAAAAGTGGACTTCAAAGAACCAGTATGGTTCAAAGCTGGAGCCCAAATCTTCAGTGAAGGTGGGCTGGACTATTTGGGCAACCCAAACCTTGTCCATGCTCAGAGCATTCTAGCAGTATTGGGCTTCCAAGTAGTACTAATGGGCCTTGTAGAAGGTTTCAGAATTAATGGGCTTCCTGGAGTTGGTGAAGGCAACAATCTATACCCAGGTGGTCAGTACTTTGACCCATTGGGCCTAGCAGATGACCCAACAACTTTCGCCGAGCTCAAGGTTAAGGAGATCAAGAACGGAAGATTAGCTATGTTCTCCATGTTTGGATTCTTCGTTCAAGCTATTGTCACCGGCAAAGGCCCACTTGAGAACCTATTGGATCACCTTGACAACCCTGTTGCTAACAATGCATGGGTTTATGCAACTAAGTTTGTTCCTGGATCTTAAATTTTTTACATTTTGACTTCCTCCATAAGAGCCTTTGTAGTTTGTACCACTCAATCATTCATAATGCAAATATTTGGCAAATGAAAATTATTTTACATACACTTGAACCAGTAGCATTCATTTGAATATGCATTAACGAATAAGTTGAATTCAGCTATATGAACCTTCACTATCCATATCCTAACGTTCAAACATGACAAAAACTTAAAACAGTTTTCAAAGTATAGGGGCGAGTCACATGAACAGCCTATACATAATAAAAGTAGGACAACATTGGTGAAAAGAGTTGAAGGGAGAAACAAGAATGCTCATAAGCAAAACACAATGATACCATCACATTTAGCCACTCATTGTGTTGTTGTGAACAATCAAGTAATGACTTTTCTACAATTGATCATCATCTTTCAACAACAACTAATTACAACATTTGCTAATGCGAAAAGACGTGGACTGAGAAATTCAATCCATTTTTCGCAAGCTATCTAATATACTTCCACAACCTAGCATTGTTTACAACAGGCTATTCACAAACAAGTTCTTAACTATCTAGCTGAGCGATTGCAGAGATACGTAATTGAGCACACGTACGTACTATTTCCCAATCTCCACCAACTTTGCTAACTTAGCAACCATAGTTGGGGAATTAGTTCCATCTATTAACACCCTAAAGAAGAAGACGAGAATTATTTTAAGCTAAAATCACTTGCTCTTCTTACCCCACCATTTTCTATGACTCTTCCCTGCTTTAGAATGAACAAGCTTGTGTACTTTTGACTTCGTCTCCTTTAACCGGACCTTGTACTCTTTTTTCCATTCCTCAAACCTGTGTTTAAGTCTTCGATACTCATCTGCAGGATTATTAGTAGAATGTAACTGCCCTGGCTTCAAGTGAACAATTGCCATGGCTTCGTTGTCAAAATTCTGCTTCCGTTGTTCAAATTCCATTGTAAGGTGGCTGATTAGGGATAAACCACCATTAACCTCTCTATTAGCTACAACACCCAAGCTGTTGTTAGAAAAGTTAATTGGAGTGCGTCCCGCAGGAGTGTCCATAGACGTTGCATCATCAGAATCATAATATTGAGGAGATGGGGAACCTTCAAGCTTTCCAGGTCGACCAGTAGTGTCACCAGCGGCAAGAGTGTTCTTGGCTGCAGCTAGACTAGCCTGCTTTAACAAAGCAATCAATTACCTTGTAAATTCATAAATATGAGTTCACAAGTAGAAACTCAAATTCCAGCATCAGCAGTATCAGTAGAGCATTCATAGAACTACGGATACCAAGAACTAGAGAAAATGAACTATCTAGGATCATATTGCAGCTTACTCACCTGCAATGATGTCATTTGCTTTTGCCACATCTCCTCCATTGACCTCATCTTGACCTCATATTCTAAGCATCGGGCCTCGAATTGGTTTGCTTGTTCCTTCAGGGCAGCATTTTCCTTTTCCTTCTGTTCAATGGTTGCCTCAGCCTTTGCAACCCATCTTTCGAGGTCTTCTACAACAGATGGTAGGATTTCTCGAGGCAACTCCTGCTTGCATAAAAAATTCAAACTTACTACTACAGATTCTCAAGCAGTCAGTAAAAATATCAAAGACTGCATTGCTGCCTTAACTGTTTGCAGCAAGGGGAAGGCATGATAAATGAAGCCATTATCCTGATTTATCCATCAGTGATTCTTCACCAACTGTCCTTTCCCTTTCCCCTTTTAGCTTCTACATGGGAGAGGGGAAGGACTAATGTATAAGCCAAAAAAGGGCCTTACTAATCATTCTCTCACCATATTTTTCTTTCAATTTCAATAATCAAACACTCGGCATTTTCGAGATGCCAGAGTATTTCATCTTCCAAAGAAAGAATAAAAAATGAAGAAAGATTCCCCTGAATCCTGAAATCAGAAAAGCAGTTGCATACCCAAAAATGGTTTTAACTATCCCCCCCAAAAAAGAAGAAAAAATGAAATACCTAAAATTGGCTTCATGAAACAGGCCACCAAATTCTTAAAGATATTAGTCCGGAAGCAGACTTTACAATTCTGAACGAAGAAACACGAAAAGTTACAATAAAATCTATGGCAGAACTT